CATGCATCTCATCCCCAGCCCCTCCATGTGTGTCATTCCCTTTGTCCCAACCCCCCATTGTGTATGTGTGTCTGTGTGTGTGTAAAGGATGCATTGTGTGTGTTGGGATGCATTGTGTGTGTGTGTGTGTGGGGATGCAGTGCTTGTGTAGCGATGCATTGTGCATGTGTGTATTTAGAGATGTATTGTGTGTGTAAGAGGGTGTTTTCTGGATAGGGGTATATCGACCCCCAACCCCTGTTTACTACCAGCATCCAGTGAGGGAGCAGCATATTCCCTGGTTGTCCAGTGGTGCTGCAGAGGCTCTCTGCCTTCACCTCTGCCGGGTGGAGGCTGTTCCCGCAAGTCCCACCACCACTTAGGATCGAGTGTTGCAGTGGTTACCGTGGCAACTATCTGAAAGACGGGACTTGGCCAGCCGTGGAGGTGAACGTAGAGAGCCCCTTCCTGCTGCGCAAACTCTGCATAGACCCAGGGAGGGTGATCTGCCTGTGTGCATGTAAGGGGCCTGGCCTTGCTAGGGCCCTCAGGTGGCCTGAGCTGCTTACAAGTGAAAGGACTGTACCCCCCGATGGGCCCACGGTCGCATTGGTCGCAGCTGTAGCCAAGCCCCCTGGAGTGACGGGCCCGGTCTCAACTGCGACCCCTGTGAGCGTGGTAGGTATGCCACTGCACTACAGTAAGAATAAGATGAGCTCACATGGCAGAACCATATCATGGTGGAAGTTACAGCCTAGAAACACAACTGCATGCATTACACGCTGTTCTTGGGGATTCCAGAAGACATCCTATACCAGAGGCAACCAACATATATTCACGTTGCCATACTCCTATCATGTATGTCTAGCATTGTATGATACCTTTAACCTAGCCTGACATAGGCTCTCAACAATCATAACTCAGAAACACATAGTTGCAGAAGTAGGAATCCTCACAAGGTCTAGGAAAACATCCTCAGTGCGACAAGAACAAGATAAATATGTGATATGCTCTGTATAGCCCAGACACAAACAAACAAAAAATCTAAATATCTAAAGGGATATGTGTTACATTACCCATTTTCTGGCTGGTAAATCCTGTTATTTTCTATTATTCTATTTTAACACACACACTATGTTTGGTAGGCTTCTAGGTCACCTCTAAACAATGCAGTTAGAAAGCCATTAATCCTATACATTGCCTTTGGGCACGCTATGCTTATTATTTTGCTCTTTTGCTTTGTAATCTACTGCACCCATCACACTTCTCCATTGATGTAATTTATCTAAATTATGATTCATTTTGTTTACCCTTTCAGTAATGTCCATCACTTGGCGCTTTGTGCTCTATCCTAAAGACATAGCCCTTTCTAGATTGTGTGTTATTATTATCATTAATAAAAAAATATATTGAACTATCATGGCCTTCAGTTTTAATATATCAGACGTCCATCCATTGAATATTGCTTATTTGCTTTTGGTTTCTTCTGCTTTAAGCACATAAAATAAAGATTTTTGTGATATCTAAGTGATTTAAAGTATAGTAGATTTAAAGCAATTCTGGCAGATTCACTTTATATAGCTCATAAGGCAGTACTTGTGCCACATGCCAACCTAGTGTCCCTATTTAGGAGGGACACTCCTTTTTTGGGCCCAAATCTCTTTGTCCCTCTTTTCTATACTAAAACATAGAAACATAGAATGTGACGGCAGATAAGACCCATTTGGCCCATCTAGTCTGCCCAATTTTCTAAATACTTTCATTAGTCCCTAGCCTTATCTTATAGTTAGGATAGCCTTATGCCTATCCCACGCATGCTTAAACTCCTTTACTGTGTTAACCTCTACCACTTCAGCTGGAAGGCTATTCCATGCATCCACTACCCTCTCAGTAAAGTAATACTTCCTGATATTATTTTTAAACCTTTGTCCCTCTAATTTAAGACTATGTCCTCTTGTTGTGGTAGTTTTTCTTCTTTTAAATATAGTCTCCTCCTTTACTGTGTTGATTCCCTTTATATATTTAAATGTTTCTATCATATCCCCCCTGTCTCGTCTTTCCTCCAAGCTATACATGTTAATATCCTTTAACCTTTCCTGGTAAGTTTTATCCCGCAATCCATGAACCAGTTTAGTAGCCCTTCTCTGAACCCTCTCTAAGGTATCAATATCCTTCTGAAGATACGGTCTCCAGTACTGTGTACAATACTCCAAGTGAGGTCTCACCAGTGTTCTGTACAATGGCATGAGCACTTCCCTCTTTCTACTGCTAATACCTCTCCTTATACAACCAAGCATTCTGCTAGCATTTCCTGCTGCTCTATTACATTGTCTGCCTACCTTTAAGTCATCAGAAATAATCACCCCTAAATCCCTTTCCTCATATGTTGAGGTTAGGACTCTATCAAATATTCTGTACTCTGCCCTTGGGTTTTTACGTCCAAGATGCATTATCTTGCACTTATCCACATTAAATGTCAGTTGCCACAATTCTGACCATTTTTCTAGTTTACCTAAATCATTTGCCATTTGGCTTATCCCTCCTGGAACATCAACCCTGTTACATATCTTAGTATCATCAGCAAAAAGACATACCTTACCATCAAGACCTTCTGCAATATCACTAATAAAAATATTAAAGCGTTCCTCTTTTACAGGGGCTCCATATTGTTGATATGTCTGAGAGTAAAACAGAGCTCTACATCAATAATACTGCATCACAGTAATGTGTATTTAAACTACAATAAATCTGTTTAGAAATTAATATGTGTAAATAGGATACATGGTTCTTGTAATACATTACAATGTATTTTATAAATGTATTAGTAAGTCACATAAAATGTCTCAGAACAGCCCCGCCACTGGACACTCCCCCACATATACGCCAATGCTTATAGTGCTCCTATTTGTCTATTTGAAATGTTGGGAGTTATGGTGTAATTTATCTCAGAGATATAATGATATATGTAGTTTGTTTAGCAGATGTTAGAGTATCACTCACCTGCTGACCCTTGCTCTACCACTCTCATTCTTGGAGTTTGGATGTTACATTGATATAACAACTGCTGTCTACTGCCATACCCTCTCTGCTGTGAAAGTCCATGCTTGGGGACACTTCACAAAGCAAAGCAATCCACCTGAATGACACCAACACGCTGGCTGCATTGCCAGCACATTGGCATCACTGTGTCCTATACATTCTACGCAAATATTAGAAACAATTGATGGGGAGTAGAATAGTAAAAGGGAATAGGGCAACAGCCTGAAGTGGGGTTCTCCTGTCACTCTATCCCAAGTTTGGACTTGTATGTACAATCTGGATTTTGAGTGACACGGGAGACTGACAAGAAAGTGAGACCAACGTTTTAAATAACATTTAATTCAAATGTATACATTTGCTAACACAAGGTATATATGAAATTAAATATTCACTATTATTAGCTTTACCTATGGTAACCATTAGAGACTCAGAAGGAGTTCTGAACCTGCAATGTGTCTCATCATCTAAATATGTAACCTTGTCTCCAGTCAATAATAGGACTGTGTTTAGTCAACCACGAGAAGTAGCCAAGAACAACCTGACATGTTGGCAAAGAAATTACCTGAAAGATTGCTCACTAATATTTTAATAGAAAGAATCAACTACCTATGGTCTCCGTAGTGAAGGGTTTCTCTTTAACATCCACAACCCAAGAAACTCTGAAAATAAAGGTGGTGATGTAGGGTTTCTGCTCTCACCTCACTGCTCCTTCAAACCTCTACCCACACCCCCTGCCTTTTCAAACCCATCTCTGCTAACATTGCCGTTATCTATCGTCCCCCTGGTTCCCCACTTCTCTTCCTTGACCACTTTGCTGCCTGGCTTCCTTACTTCCTCTCCTCTAACATTCCATCTGTAATTCTCAGAGACCTCAACATTCCCATTAACCCACCCTTGACCCCAGCAACCTCAAAACTACTTCTATTACCTCCTCCCTTGGGCTATCACACTGGGCTAATTCCCCCACACATCTAGACCTTATTTTCACTGAATGTACAGTCTCTAACATCTGCAACACTCCATTTCCTCTCTCAGATCATCATTTCCTATGATTTGCTCTCAATAGCCCCCTCTCCCAATAACCTCAGCCTAACCCCCCTCAACTCAGAAGGAATCTGAGTTCCATAAACCTACAGCAGCTGTCAGCTGATATCGATTCCCAATTATAATCCATTCCTGCTTACTCATGTCCCTCACTGGCTATCTCCTCATATAACTCTACCCTCACCTCAGCCCTGGACGCTGCAGGCCCGCTCCAAATACGCACCTCGAGGAGAATACCCCCAACCGTGGCACACTAAATCAACCCGCTACCTGCAAAGATGCTCCTGTTCTGCTGTACGCTGCTGGAGGAAGTCTCACACTGAGTCAGACTTTATACACTACAAATTCATATTGCGCTCATACAGCACAGCCCTTGCCCTTGCCCTTGCCTAACAGTCATACTTTTCTTCTCTTATTGACAAGATTGAACAGCTAAGGAAAGAATTCTCACCACCTTGCTCTTCACTTTCTCAACCTCACTTGGATCATGCCTCTGCAACCCTACCGACCTTCTTCCAGGCTTCTGAACAAGAGGTGGATGCGCTTATCCTTTCCTCTCGCCTCACCACTTGCCCGCTTGATCCTGTCCCTCCTCACCTGCTCTCTTTCTTCTGGCACTGTTCCTGCTGTCCTTAAACATGCTTCTGTAGTAGAAACCGTGTCTCGACCCATGCTCCCCTTCTAACTATCGTCCTATATCCCTACTCACTTTTTCCTCAAAGCTTCTTGAAAGACTACTCTTCACCCATCTGGCCTGCTTCCTCAACTCCAACTCTCTCCTTGACCCTCTTCAGCCCAGCTTCCACCCCCTCCACTCTACAGAGACTGCCCTTATCAAAGTCACTAACGACATTATCACAGCTAAATCCAAAGGTCACCACTCCATACTAATTCTTCTTGACCTCTCCGCTGCTTTTGAGACTGTTGATCATGTTCTCCTTCTCCAAACTCTTCAATCACTCTTCAGGATAAGAGGTTTTCCAGTTATCTCTCCCAACGCTCATTCAGTGTCTCCTTTTCTAATGATACCTCAACCATTGGTCCTGTCTCAGTTGGAGTCCCCCAAGGCTCTGTCCTTGGTCCCCTTCTATTTTCTCTTTACACTGCCTCTCTTGGCAAACTTATTACCTCTTTCGGATTCCAATACGCTGATGACACCCAGATATATCTCTCCTCCCCGGACCTCTCCCCTGATGTCCTGCAATGTGTCAACTCTTGCCTTTCTTCTGTCTGATTGGATGTCCTCCCGCTTTCTGAAACTCAATCTTTCCAAAACAGAACTTCTTGTCTTTCCTCCTCCTAATATTAATCCTCCTCTCTCGCTCTCCCTTTAGATTGGTGGTATCCATATCAGCCCATCCTTACAAGCACGTTTTCTTGGTGTTACTTTTGATTCTGGCCTCACCTTTGAGCCTCACATCCGGTCTGTTGTCAAATCATGCCAATTCCACCTCAAAAACATTGCCCGCATCTGCCCCTTTCTTACACAAGATGCTACTAAAGAGCTTGTCCATGCTTTAGTAATCTCTTGCATGGACTATTGTAACTCTCTCCTAATTGGTCTTCCCAATAGCAGTATTGCCCCACTACAGTCTGTAATGAATGCTGCCGCCAGACTTATTTTCCTTTCTAGTCGGTCCTCTCACACCTCACCCCTCTGTCAGTCCTTACATTGGCTTCCTGTATACTATAGGAGTCAATTCAAAGTGCTAACCCATACCTACAAAGCACTGAATAATCTTAGCCCCTCTTATATCTCCTCACAGATCCATAGGTATGCTCCTTCTCAGTCTCTCCGCTCTGCCCGTGACCTTCTTCTGTCCGCTGCTCGCACCCGTACGGCCAACTCGCGCTTGCAGGACTTCTCGTGGGCGGCTCCCTTCCTATGGAATAGCCTGCCTAGCGCCATCAGACTCTCCCTTAGTCTTCAATCATTTAAGAAGTGCCTTAAAACCCATCTCTTTAGGAAAGCTTATGGCCTCCCAGAATAACCTCTACCTTACATACCTGTCTTTTGCTCTCTCTTAAAGGGCAGCACTTTACTCTCTCCTCCAGCTCTGCTTCACTCCCACCTTATTTGATTGCGAATTCCTGTCCTATTGTGTTTTACACCCCACTTCCTAGAGACTGTAAGCTCGTTTGAGCAGGGCCCTCTTCAACCCATTGTTTCTGTAAGTTTTTTTGTAATTGTCTTATTTATAGTTAAATCCCCCCTCTAATAATATTGTAAAGCGGTACGGAATCTGTTGGCGCTATATAAATGGCAATAATAATAATAATACATCTATACAATTTATGAGTTCGACTTTATCAAAGCTTGAGCATTGTATATTTTAGGGCAGGGTCATTGAAGGGACTATTAAGGTCCCGAGCGCGCAGCCCAAGACCCTACACCGAGAGGTAAAGAGGAAGTCCGGTACCTTACCGACAACAGGGAGATATTATATATACACCCAGGGAGAAACAACAGGATTACAAAAACCATAGGGATATATTGTACTGCAGACAGTTCATCAGCTTGGTGCACATATCACGATTTTGCCTGAAACAGGACCTACATCCTTGGAAATTGTGGTGAGATCCACCCATATATTATAGTGTGTACACACTGGGACTGTATATACATTATTTCTTATTTTTTTCCTTATTTTTTCATTTTTTAAATTTTTTATTATTTTTTTCAATTTTTTACATTTTTTTCACATTTTTCAGATGGTAATCTGGACTCTCAGATATATTAATGCAGTTTAGCATTATTGATAACTAATAAGTCAGATTTTGTAGGGACTCATTTGCATGGAGTAACATTGGTTGTCACAGGATATACTGTTTCTACTATATATATTGTCTTACCTTTTTTTGTATATACTTATATATTATCATACTTGCAAAATTAATGAATTATTAAATAGAGCAATGAATTATACTTAAAATTATTGAGTGCGGTATCATTTTTTGTTATATTGTATTTTAGGAGGTATATGGGCCACCTTGATACCTTGCACCAATACGGATAAAAGAGTGCCTGTACATAGAATTATTATAGTATATTTTAGAACCACATTTCAGAGTAAAAACTATGTTTGGGGACATATTAGTCATTACAGGAAGGACAGATCCCAAATAGACCTTAGGTGCATGTGTTTTCTGGTATTATTCTCTTGTATTCTTTTCTACCTTAGAGGGTTTAGCAAGACTTAGTTGAATGGATTCTGGGAAATGGGATGTGTGTATCAGAATTAGAAAGTCTGGGAGTTAATTTAATGAAAACAGCATTTAGGTGTCTAATATGGCTTCTTCTTTTTATCACTCATCAATATATAAAGTCACCAACAGAACACAAACTCTTACTTTCATTAAAAATTCAGCCCTGGGGGCGTGGCCACGCTACGATCCAAGATGGACGCGTAAGCCACGAGCTCCTGCATAAGGGACACGCAATCAGCGACAAGCACAGCACACAGTGCCGCACAACCGACCCCACCTGGGTACCTGGCAGACATGGCACAGCGAGCAACGAAAAAACCGAGGCAGAGAGCCGCAGATTTGCAAATTACAGCCCACACCTCGCCGCAACTGAAATTTCAAGATGGCGCCGACGGCCCGTCTTCCCCGGCATCCTGCTCTGATAGGAGCGACGGTACATCCGTCTCTTTGCTGACCTCTGCACCAGCCACAGACTCCTCAATTCAGAGGATGCTAGCAGACCTCAAGAGCTCCATGCAGGCTGAATTTACAAAACTGGCAAGGGACATCAAAGCAGATATCCAGGCCATAGGTGAGCGAACCGCCCATTTAGAAGACAAAACGGACGAGATCATCACAGCACACAACACATTGGCAGATGCTCACGCAGATATGGCTGCCAGACTTGATCTACTCACTGACAAGGTAGCAGACCACGAAGACCGAGACAGAAGGAGTAACATACGCATGAGAGGTATTCCAGAAGATGTAGCACCACAAGACCTGGCATCATATGCTACAGACCTCTTTCAAGCAATATCCCCAGACCTATCTCAATCAGACCTCCTCCTAGATAGGATTCACCGCCTACCACGACCGAGAAATCTGCCGCCATCTCTCCCACGTGACACTATAGCCAAGTTTCACTATTTCTCATCTAAAGACAAGATTATGAGAGCCTCAAGGCTTCTCCCCGAATTTCCGGGCAGATTTGCCAAAGTACAGCTCTACATCGACCTCTCAGCTGCCACGCTTCTCAAAAGGAAAATGCTTGCAACCATAACAACAGCCCTGCGAGAAGCGGATATTCACTACAAGTGGGGGTTTCCAGCACGGCTGAAATGGAGTGGAAAAACATATTACCTCGGTAGAAGAAGGCAAGAGAAGGCTTAAAGAATGGAATGTCCCTTTCAGAGTACCTCCAGACAACGCTACGCTAAATCTATCCCAGCGCTCCTCGACACAGGTCTCCAGGGACTGGAACACCACCTCCACGGCCAAATGACTTTAGCACATAATGTATACTATGATATAACGCTCCAACCTAACCTCACCTCCACGGACTGGTAACGTTATTATAAGCTCCTCACATACTGCCATAATATACAGCATGTATTTCCCTGTTTCACCATTTTCAGAGTTCTTACGCTGTTTTACAGCCCACTATGCTTACTCCTTTCTCTGTACCATTGTGCGACAATAGTGAATCTCAACGAGCTTCGTGACCCAACGTAGATAAGCTTTACACTGCACGTCCCAACAACCCTGCACAGGCATTAGTGACAGGACCCCACCAAAGGGCCCTATGTTTGCACACAAGTCCCCTGCAGGGCATTCCATTGACTTCCCCCCATTAGGCCACTACTGGCCTCCTTACCGCCGTCTGTACGCTTTGGTACGACTTCCGACGGCTCTTTGTATATAGTTATTCTGTTTTTACTGTTTTTCTGTATTTATATGTTTTTCCTGGTGTCACATATTGCAATATCGACCCACCTACAGGACATGCAAGGCCCACACAAACTAGCTTGTCCTACCTCACTCCCCTCTAAGATATACATCATTATGGCAACCCGCGTACCTGGCAAAACCCCATATTTGCTTAACTGGCAGACAGCCATAGCCCAGCACAGGGGTGCTGACATGATTTATGGTTTACAGATTGTCACAGAAGTGAAAAGAGAGATAAATCACAAAATGTCTCGAAGGGCAACCCTGCCTAGATCTCCACCATGACTCTCACAATCCTATCGTTAAACACCAAGGGTCTTAACACACCCCATAAGAGACGCCTAGCGTTAGCAGAAGCTAAGAAACACAAAGCCCTAGTAGTCTTTTACCAAGAAACCCACTTTAAATGGGGACATAGACCGAAATTCAACTCCACTTTCTACCCCATAGATTTCCACTCATGCTACACAACAAAAAAACGAGGGGTATCCACCCTGATCAGCAAAGACGTATCCTTCACACTCGTTAAAAAAATAGGAGACAAACATGGTAGATACTTAATCATCCAATGCTACATAAACAATAACCCATACACGTTGGTGAATATATATGGACCGAATGAGAACCAACATGAGTATATGACCAAAGTTTTTGGGCTAATTTCTTTGTACCGCTTTGGAGATGTAATTCTGGGAGGTGACACTAACTGCCTATTGGACGCTTCCTCAGACACCTCCTCCAAACACTCACGACACACTAAAACTGCTAACAAACTAACAACCCTAACCTCTAAAATAACACACACTATCCTCTCCCACGACTTCGTGGATCCCTGGAGGATTCTTCATCCCACGGCCATAGATTATACCTTTCACTCAGCAGTGCACAATACGTATACGAGAATCGACCGGTTTTTGATACCGGCCAACTACATGAACAAAATCCAGCAGGCAACAATAGGCCCTATTACGTGGTCAGACCATGCGCCCATAACATTGACTATTCAGGAACAACACCCGCCCACAGGAAAGGGCACTTGGAGACTTAACGACACTTTACTTACAAACAAAGACACAGTAGCAGCAATCCAGAAAGACATAGAACAATATTTTATTGAAAACCCCTCAGAAGACACGAGCATTGAAACAGTATGGCAAGCACATAAGGCTGTCATAAGGGGCACACTCATTAAAATAGCTAGCTATCAGCATAAACAACGTACATTGCGCTATACGAAACTCATAAAAGACATCACAGAATTGACACATAAAAACAAACAACAACCGTCAAAAGACACACAACAGCAACTAGCCGCATTGCAAAAAGAACTTCACAACTATGAACTAGCGAAAACTACCCATCTCCTCCAGCGATACAAACACAAATTCTTTACCACAGGTAATAAAGCAGGGGCATTACTAGCCGCACAACTAAAAACCCGCTCACAACAAACAAAAATTGCACATATCCAAACTCCCCAAGGTAAAAAATTGATAAATCCACAGGCAATCGTGGACGAATTCGCACTCTATTACAGCTCCCTCTACAATCTTAAAGACGGAGCAGACATAGTCCCACCCTCCCCGCTCTCCATCACCCACTTCTTACAATCTGTTGACGTCCCCAAACTGCAAGACTCCGACATAACGACCCTCACCTCACCATTTAAGATGGAAGAAGTAGAGCAGACAATCTGAGACTTACCCAAACAAAAAGCCCCAGGGCCGGATGGCTATACCAACCTTTACTACCAGACCTATACCAGCCTACTTACGCCTCACCTCACAAACCTATACAACTCCTGCTACACCTCTGGAACAGTACCGCCAGATATGCTCATAGCCCACATATCGACCTTACCCAAACCTGGGAAACCCCCAACTCATTGCCAAAATTTTAGACCAATTTCCCTTATCAATGCGGATGTCAAAATCTATGCCAAACTGCTAGCCAATAGACTATCCAACTTTCTGCCCACGCTGATACACAACGATCAATCAGGGTTTATTAAAGGCAGACAGGGTTCGGACAACACACGGAAGGTCCTCAACATACTGGCACACATGCATGGTACGCGCGCTCAGGGTCTACTCCTGGCCTTGGATGCAGAAAAGGCCTTTGACAGGGTCAACTGGGAATACATGCGGCAAGTCCTACAAAAATTTGGCTTCCCGGCTGGCCTTGTCTCAGACATCATGGCCCTATACAATAGCCCACAGGCGAGGGTATCCAATTCTGGTTTTCTATCCACACCTTTTAATATTACCAACGGTACTAGGCAGGGGTGTCCTTTGTCACCGCTACTGTATATCCTGTCCCTAGAGCCCCTGGCAGCTACCATTAGGCAACAAAATATAGTCCAGGGCGTAAACATAGGAAACCACACATTCTGCCTCTCCATGTTTGCAGATGATATCCTACTCACGGTCCAAGAACCCGAAACATCTGTCCCGGCACTAATACAACTGCTCCAGCAGTATGGACAACTGTCCTACTACAAGCTGAATCAAAGCAAAACACAGGCTCTGCCGATTAATCTACCAAGTTCACTGATAACACGACTTAAACAATCACACTCCTTCGACTGGAGAACCACCGACATCACATACCTAGGAGTAAAACTTGGCCCATCCCCTGCAGACACATTCAAACTAAATTTCAAACCACTCATACCAATGTGCAAAACACATACCCAACAATGGAAAGCAGTTAAGCTCTCCTGGCTGGGAAGAATCAATTCAGTAAAGATGATGCTTCTGCCTAAACTTCTATACAAATTTAGAATGCTGCCGATTTATGTCAACCCGACGTTTTATAAGCACATCCAAGCTATTCTCTCCTCCTTTATTTGGGAATCACGCAAACCACGGCTCGCGATGTCACTTCTCCAAAAACGTGCGGACAAGGGTGGACTGGGGTTCCCAGATATCCATAAATACCACAAAGCATCCTTCCTAGAGGCAGCTATAAAATTCCACACCCCCAAAGGGACTTTTCAATGGGTGGACATGGAAAACGCTAGGGCGCCTGGCGGCTCTCTGGTAGGGATGTTATGGACCCCAGCACACACAAGACCAAACATGCTCCACCTTTTCAATACCTCGATCACCACTATTAAGCAATGGGACACGCTACACCGCACCCAGCATAAACTCAATAAGTTTCACCCGCGGGCCCCGATAACGGCACTGAACCCCCTAACCCCAGGGTTGACTATGAACTCCTGGATAAAACACGGCATAAAACACATAGTAGACACATACCAAGACCATCGACTTATGCCCTTCCCAGATCTTCAACGGAAATTTGACCTACCTAACGCCTCCGTCTTTCAGTATCTCCAACTTCAAAGCATGGCCACATATAAGATACTTACAAAATCAGACATGACATCCACTAACCTACAACACCTAGACCCGTTACATGACCAATGCTGGCTCTCACCTACAAAGCCCAAGGCATTATCTTTATGCTACAACATACTGCTGAACGCCGTTGCCATGAAAACCCCCAACTACGAACAACAATGGCACACGGAATACGACTCCTCGCCATCAGGCAACACCTGGTTGCAATCACTCAACGCACTCAAAGGTATCACCAACTGTTACTCACATCTAGAGGCACACAAAAAGCTGGTTTATAGGTGGTACCTAACACCAAGTAAACTGCACAAAATTTACCCCTCAGTTTCTGAGAGGTGCTGGCGGTGCGGGGGGGCAAAGGGCACGATGTTCCACATATGGTGGGAATGTCCTGTCCTGGCCCCTCTCTGGGGTCACGTTAAAGACATTCTCGAGTTGCTCAATATTACCACGGTCACACTGGACCCCTTAACATGCTTAT